ACATTTTTGTCATTACTATTAAGTATTTTTAGCTATTCAGGTGACTATTATTGTTGGGTTCTACTTGTGTTAACAGTGGTGTAATTGTTGCTTTTAGTATGTAGTGTGTGTCAATATTTGGTTTGTCTATGTTACATTGGTTTTTATGCTAGTACAGTAACCACTTAACTCATTATTACTGTTGTTTTCTGTTAATGCTGGCATTATGTCCCACTCTTTGTCTTCATGTCACTGATTTTTCTATAGTTCATTTTCTCCTGAGTAGTGTTGGGGATCAAGCCTCCAGAAGAAGACTGGACATTACGAAGACCATCTAGTTACTCTTTTCTTGTTGCTGGGACAAATATCTGACAATAAAAATGAAGGAAGGAAGGGGCTGGGGAAATGGCTCAGCAGAACAAGCGCTTGCCTGGCAAGTACAAGGGCCTGAGTTCAATCCCTCATTCTGACCAAAAAAAAAAAAAAATGAAGGAAGGAAAGGTTTATTTAGTTCACAGTTATTGGAGGTTTCACTCCATACTCAGCTGGCTCCAAGGCAAAGTGGCACAAGGCAGACAGCAACCTTTCATGGTTGTGGCAAAAAGCAAGAGGAGCCACGGGAGGAGTAGCAGCAACAATGGCAACAGAGAGCAAGTCTGTCTGTCTCTTTTATATTACATTCAAGCTATCTGCCCCAGGCTGGGCATAACACTCACTCATAATCCCAGAAGTATTCAAACCCATAATCCCAGCAGGACTCAAGCCCATAATCCCAACAGTACTCAGACCCATAATCCCAGTAGATCATGAGTTAATGGCAAACTCTGGAAGTAACTCTACCCCATGATTTATGAGGCTCTGGGGGGCACGAGACACAAACCATAACAAAGACCATCAAATGTTCCACTGAATAAGTTAAAGGTATACAACTAAAGCATAATCAAATCTAAGGACATATCACAGAGAGACAAAAATCTAGCGATCTCTATGCTAATAACATTTTCTCTATCCTAACAGATCTCCAACCCATTAAAAAAAAAAAAAAAGGAACCTGTGACAGCACGGCAACATGTCCCCTAAAGCTTCTAACTCCCAAAGGTGATTTCACAGCCCCTGAAGTAAACTACAAGCAAAGAACTCAAAAATTCAATGATCAGAATGCTAGGAGATAAGCAAAAAAACATGCAAATAGATGCACAAATGCTTAACAAACTGAGAGAATTTAAATGGATAAAAGATTTTTCTAATGAAATGCTGGACAAGCTTATGAAAACAACTGATTTAAGCAAGACATGAATGACCACTTCAGAAAAGTACAAAAAGCAAACAAGCAGAGGAGAGAGAAAAACTTCAATGGGAAGGATACGTAGCAGAACTGACCAATCAATGTGAAGCTAGAAAGTCTGACACAGAGGCAGTGGATACTGTAGATGACTAACTCATTGATAAACCAGGCGTGGTGCCCCTGAAAAAATAACGCAATGACAGAATTCAAACACATCACAATTACGCTCAGTGTGAATGCTTTCGCTTCCCCAATCAAGACACTATCAAAAAATAAAATGCAACCCTATATTGTTTACAAGAGGGACATCTCATTCCAAAGTACACAGACTGAAAGTGAAAGGATGGAAAATAATACTCTGTTCAACCAGAGCCTAAAAGCAAGCAGAACCAGCTGGCTCATTTTCAGACTCAGCAGACTTCAAGCCAAAATGAAACAGAAGAGACAAAGATAGCCACTGATGAAGAGAACAAATCAATGGGAAAAGGTAATGGCTGCAAATATTTATGCACCAAATGCTGGCACTACTCAACTTCACAAATCAAAACTGATTTCAATCGGAGTTGAAATGGCAGATAAACACCAATACAGACACAGTGGTGCATTTCCACACTCTATTCTTACAACTGGTCAACAAGACCATAACAAAACAAAAAGCATCAAACCACACCATTGAACAAATGGATTTAACAGATGTCTACAGTGTTTTACCCAAAACCAGAATACACTTTATTCTCAGCAATATATGGAACTTCTCCCAAAACAGGCCATAAAGCCATAAAGCATATTTAAATAAAGACAAAATAATGAAATAACCCTGGGATACAAATAGATTATAGTAGAATGAAGCTAGAAATCAACAGCAAAACACAAACACATAGGAATTAAACAATACATTGTAATCAGTGGATCACAGAATAAATTGAAAGTTCCTATAATCAAATAATGAAAGTACAACATACCAAAACCTATGGAACACAACAGAAACAGTTCACAGAGGAAAGGTCATGCTGTAAATGTACATATAAAAAGAACAGAATAAATCCAAGTAAACAACTAAATGCTACACCTCATGGTCATAGAAACAGACACAATTGAAATGTGAATTTTAAAAAAGTAATCTTAAAGATCAAAATGGAAATGCATGAAATTGATCCCCTCCTACTAAAAAAGGAAAGGATCAATGAATGAGTTGGCTCTCTGAAAGATTGGGAAGGAGAGCTGGAGGTAAGGGAGACTGGAGGGCAAAGATGGGGAAGAAAAAGGGAAGAGGATCAAGATGTGATACATGTAAGTACTATGAACTGAGAACATGTAAGTAAAAAGGAGAAAGACAATGCATAAGCAAATAGCCAAGTGAATGGTGAAGCATCGAGACTGGAAAGTTAAGAAAATTCTAGCTTTGACAGAGATAGTTCTAGTTCCATTTATACATGTTGTACACACAAAAATGGAAACAAAACCAAGTTTATGTGTTGAGTATGAGCAATGTAAATGTACAGGGCACCACACAAAACAAGAACTCCATTAGTGAGAGCTACATTATTATTCATGCCCAGACAGGACTAGGGAGCTACCAGGCAATCACAAAGAGGCTAGCAAACACAAACAGCATGATGAATGAAACGATGGAAATAATAAATTCCAGTGAATATTACATCATCTTCTGGGGAGTTAGCTTCATTCTACGCTATACTCACATTTTTTTTACTTAGTGTGTATTTTAAAGCCACCTGGAGTATGTGCTTTTGAGTTCTGATTCATTTATTGTTTTGGGAAGACACACAGACATGCATACATTGCACAGCTTCCTCGACAATAAAGTGGTGCTCAACAATCAGGCTTTCATCCAAAGTTCAAAGACCCAATCCAAAAGTGAGCATCTGAGATGAATATATACTTCACAAATGAAGAGATACAAATGGCAAATAAATATATGAAAAAATTCAATATCATTGGTCATTCAAGAAATGCAAATTAAAACAATGCTGAGATACCATCTTATAGCAGAAAGAATGGCTACTGTCAAGAAGTCAATCAGTAACAAATGCTAGAGAGGCTGCGGGGAAAAAAATGAACCCTTCTCCACTGTTGGTGGGAGTGCAGGCTGGTACAACCATTATGGAAATTAGTATGGAGATTCCTCAAAAAGCTTGGATTGGAGGTCCCATTCAAACCAGTTCTCTCCTAAGTGTTTTTCAAAAGAACTGAAGCCATCATACCACAACGATGTATGTGTATCCATGTTTATAGCAGTGTAATTTGTCATAGCTAAATCTTGGAAATCACCCAAATGCCCATCAATTGAAGAATGGAGAAAAAAGTTATTCTTACACAATGGAGTATTACTCAGCTGTAGAAAAGATAAATGTGCAGCTTTTGTAGATAAACGGATATAACAAGAGACTACTGGCAATTGAAATAAATCATACCCACATGTGCAAGCATCGTATTGTTTCACTAGTGTGAAAACCTGAAAGAATAAATAAAATCTGAAAGGTACAGCAGATACTGTGAAAGGGAAAAAAACTGTTCAATGGGAAGGAAACTTTGGGATAAGGAAAAGAACAAAAGAAAGAAAAAATATATCTTTATGTATATGTGCTGGATAATTTGCGTAAGTGTACTGCTGATTTCTGCTGGCCTTTTGAAAGGAGCAGTAAATGCTGAAAGGTTTTTTCTCATTTTTTTCTTCTTTTTCATTTCTTATAACTTTTTTGGTGTTGTTTTGTTTAACCAATTTTGCAGGTTTGATACCTAACCTCAACAACTAATTTGAAGATAACATCATGCAATACAGCAACTACTGTTGAATTCCTATTACTTCATTTAGTGAAATTTTGTATTGTTTCTAATGATTTTTTCTATTAGTATTCCATATTCTTTAAAAAATAAAAACAATATTTACTATTATACTACACATAGAATCCAATAAATATTAGCAACTGTTTAAAGTACTATGTAAAGCCTGGTACAGAGGTACACCCATGTAATACCAGTACTTGGGTCGCTGAAGAGGACTGCCATGAGTTCAAGGTCAACCTGAAGTTCACAGCAGACCTTGTCCTCAATGAAACAAAATACTACTAACACATTTCATTTTACAAATTCTTTAGTTGTGTAGCTATTGAACTGAACATTGTATGAGAGCAAGAACTTACATGTGTTTAGTTGGCTAAAACTATACCATGCAATGTAGCAGGCATTCTACAAATCAATGAATATCTAACTTTGTGACAACAGTGAAAATGGCACAATTGCACACATACAAACTTTTCCAAAATTAACATGAGGGGCCCAGGGAGGTAGCTTAGTGGTCTAAGCAGTTGCCTGGCAAACTCAAGGACCCAGGTTCAATCCCTGGTCCTGCTCCATGCCAGACACTGAAACTGGCCATGGTAGCACACACCTGTAATCCCAGTGCTGGGGAGGCTGAGACAGGAGGATCACTATGAGTACAAGCTGCACAGTGAGAACCTGTACCAAATAAATTTAAAAAAAAGATTAAAAAAAATTTTTTTTAAATCAAAATTAAGATCAAGACAGATGTTCATTGACTCAAAGAAATAATGCAGATAACCAGATAGCACAGTGACTCAGAAAACTGACAGCACTACATTAAAGAGGCAAAAAAGAAATTCAGAAAGGTTCCAATTTATCTTTATAAACTTTTTATTTAAAAAATAAAATTATAAACAAAATACAGAAAAATATTGACACTTGTGATAACAAGAAAATGATTTAAGCCTTATGGCAATTTATTATTCTGGGGGAACAAAATCATGAGTTTTATAAAGAAATTTTATTGTGCCTAGGAGGAATGTAATATTTAAGATTTATTTATAACGGGCATTTGGCATTAACAAGAAAAAAGTATACATATATATTCTACGTATACATTCAACATTTTGCAGCATATTTACTTCAAGTTATGTTTCCAAACATATACCAAACACAATCTAATGCCATCAAAAATCTCTAAGATATTACTAAAATTTTGTTCATTTGGTATGAATGCAATATCATTTTTAAAAAATAATTTTATGTTCCTACAAGATCAATTGCATTTTCACTATTCAACAAAATTCACTGATGCTTTCGTGCCAATCGAAGCCAAGCCTTTTCTAGACAAATGAAATACCAACACAAGGGTGGCAAGTTATGGAATTATATTATAATTTTCCCTCCCTCGTCAGAGATATTAAAAGTTTCAACAAAAGGATACCAGTTTTAACAAATTACTTTTCGTTTACAGTAGTCAGGATTTATCAAGTGACTGCTTTTTAGAAAATGACTGAAGTACTTTCTTCTTTCAGTTTTCACCAAAATCCTCATCAAAATAAAAACATTAAGAAACCCACACAACAATTTTCTGAAAAATTTTCTCCATTTTTCCTCTACATTTCTCAAATCAACTGTTTTTTCATTAATAATCTGTACTTCTTGCTTAGTTTTTCTAAATTATACAAGGCAACTATCTAGTTTCCTGATAATCTTGTTTCAGTTTTAAATTATGATTTTATTAAAATCAAAATAAATTACAAATAACTTCATCTTTGTTATAATTACTTAGACATTTATCTTAACTTACTGAAGGCGCAAGAGTCTTTGGGGCCTCTCTGTCTAGACAAAACAAAGTGTCAAGATTAGAAATTCTCATTCTTCCAAGAGATTCCAGATAAATCAGAACTACTCATAAGGTAGCAATTCTGTCTTAATTATCTCAAATTACATTCATTCTTTTTGTCTACAAAGATAGCGAATGACAAACCAAGGGAACAGATGAATTTCGCTTAGTGGTATCTTTCTGATCTTCAGGTTGTTACTTCTCCTCCCGCACACAAGGGCTGGCAGTTGGCAGTAGGCTGCTGAACAGACGCCACTTCTAAGTCAGATTCACGAACAAAAACCACTGCGTCGCCACTTACATTAATAAGACACTGCGCCTGTCAGAACAACAAATAGGATGGGTCAGTTACACTCAGCACTGTTCTACGCTTCCATTACACAGGTGGCAGTGGTAGGTAGGCGAAAGCACACAGGGAGAGAAATCCCTGACAGAAAAAAAGAAAAAGGGTAAGAGGACAATTCACAGGAAAAGAAACTCAAAGAGGTGAGGTATAGATGCAAAAATATTCAGGTGCAATATTAATTAGAGATACAGAAATTACAAAGACAGTGACAAAAAGGTAACAGTTGGATATTACCAAGTATTAGTTAAGATGAGGCAACAGAAATGCACTTACCAGAGCCACCACTTAGGAAAACAATCTCATAAAGCAGAAACTGTACACATTTTGTGACACCAATTTCAGTCTCTTTTATTAAAATATTTATTTCTTAGAGAGAAATCTTGGGCTACATATGCAAAAAAGATTGGTATGCGGCATTTCACGGCAGCATGTTCACAACAGAAAAATTCAGACAAGAACCACACAATCATCTAGAAAGCGAAAACAAGTGGCTTGACGCTCTATCAGTATGAATAAATCTCGTGTCACAATGACTGTGAGAAATGATCTCAAGTAGTGGAAACTCAGGCCATGTGTAAGAAAACTACAAAGGCACATGCACCGATTTAGTAATTCTCTTGTAAGGAATTTTCACATACACTCACACTTGCGTCAAGCTTCATCTGTGCTTTGTAATATTGTATGCATTAGAATAACATTCCTTAAAAACAACCTGACATACAGTGTGAACATAATTCAGTTGCAACAAAAACTCTGGATACTTTATTTGCCCTCAAATGGCACAACCACCAAGAAAAATAAATGAATAAGTAAAAGAGCAAGATCAGTGCATACTATTACCATTTATGTAAAAATGAGGAAAAACATAAAATATATAAATATATCTGTAGTATCTAAATCTGTCTAACATGTTTCATGCTCTGGAATGTCACATCTCTAGGAAGAATATTAAACCAACTACCAGCTCTGGGTGTATGTAGGGAAGAAACTGGCTGAGACCGAGGACAGGGAGAAACATTCTTGTTTAATATTTTTTGAATTTTGAATGATTTCCCACCCAGTGGAAAATATATTACAAAGATTTTTACATACAGGTATTTTTTAATTCACTGGAATGAAATCAAGAATGACCCACTGAGAGAAAAGAAGAATCAGGTTTGCAGAGGCTTCTACCATATTTTTAATATTTTACTTCTGAAGCTGGGTACTGATGTTAAGCAACTACACATTTTTTGAGTGCAAGCAAGATCTCAAAATAAAGTAGAAGTGGCCCCGAAGAGCTAACTGATGTGCAGTGGGGCACCTAACACGAGCATGGAGGTGATAAGCAGCAGCTGACAGCAAGCACACTGGTGCAGAGGGGCGCTGGCAGTGGGAGGGCCGACCGCAGCTGCAGACAAAAGCCGGGGACGCATTCCAGCCTTTCTGTGCATATCCTGGTACTGCGCACTTGCATGCAGTGTGCCTCAGTTTTCTCACGCACAGCATGCTGGCAAGTGCTAGAAGTGAAAAGAGGCACAGTTCCTTTGGAAAGGTAAAGCACATGCTTGGAGGACAGCACATATGAATGTGGAGAGGTAATGAGGAAGGAGGAGCGAGAAAGTAGGACGAGGCTAAGTGGTGGGGGACACAGCACATAGGAGCTTGAATTTACCCTGTCCTGAGTCATTCAAGATGTTCTAACACAAGATAACAGACATAACTTTTTTATTTTATTTATCTATTTTTTTGGTGGAACCGGGGATTGAACTCAAACCCTTGCGCTTGCCAGGGAAGTGCTTATTCCACTGAGCCATCTCCCCAGGCAGACACAACTTTTATATAGTGCTCTGCTTACTAGCCATCCACCAGGAACACTATATAATGAACTCATGACTTCCCCAGGTTTTACCAGTATTATAGATGAGGAAACTATGACAGAAAAGTTGCTTTCGGTAAGTGAATTTTGAGGTACTTTTAAAGTGCTAATTAAGTTAATAACTTGTTCAAGACTAACCCTGGAAAAGCTTCAAAATGATAAATCTTGATCTCAAATGCAAAATAACTATGCCAAAAGGTGCTTTTTAAAAGGACTAGAAAAAGCACATTATACTAAATAAAACTATTGCAAAGAAGTACCCAGATGAACGGGTTAATTCTAAGATCTGATATATGCTTTGTCTGTGGTCAGATTACATCAAATTGTTCACAACAAATACAATCAGGATGTACAAATACAATCAGGATGTGTCTTCTCTAGTTTTTTGTCTAAATCTGTTTTCAAAAGACTTCTATTGTACTTTTCAGCCTCTCCTGATTTTTTCTTCCTCACCCATTGATCTTTTCTGGCTTTTCTGCTTCTCTGTTTACACCCTTGGTCCACTCTACAAGATCTCCTTGTCTCCAAATCTTCACAATAAGCTGGCACTGAATTTAAACCTTCAATCAAGAAACCTCAGAGCCCTAGGTGTACTCCACCTCTCTTCGTTTGAAGTCCCCCAGGACGATTGACAGGTCTTCTCCCTGCCTGCCCCCCAACTTGCCTTAGTGATTGAAAAATTAATCAGAAAGCTATCTTTCAGTTTCATTGTATCACTATTTTTCTTCAACGTGTACCAATGAAGTATAATACACTCTGGATTAAAAGTGAATGAATTGTCAAGAAAAGCTAAAAATAATAGTAAATGAAGCACCTTTCTGGAGAAATTCAGACTAAAAATTTCAAAATAAAATTCATTATGAATTCCCAGTAATGTCTTTTCAAATTTCCTACATATTTATGGCAGCATCTCACTAGCAGTACAAGATAATTTTACCCATGAATAACTGAGGGGATTAAGAATGTTGATGATTTATTTTTGGTTACAATTACCTAACCATAACGCTGGGAGCAAAATATATAGTTTCATATGTACACACTTACGTGTATTCTTAGCCTGCTCAAATGATGAGTATCTAACCTACATTACAGCTTCCTACGTGCTGTTTCCAAGGAATCGATCCCCTCTGTTCTCAGGCCACTCCCCAGGGCCAAGAACCTAGGAATGGCTACCAACAGCGCCAGCACTCTCATCCACTTACTGTCCTATGTCATATAAACAATGTGACTTGTCATGCATGACACAAGAAGCAGGGCAGGAAGCATCGTTTTCTGATAGCTCATATCACTCATATTGCATTTTTAAGAAACTTTAATAATTTTAAGAGCATTATTACCTTAACTCAAAATTGAATAAAAAATGTTATTATCAAATTCAATTGTACCCTTCTACTCTCCATTAAATTATACTACTTAATAAAAACCAAGCAGCAGTCTGGCCCCATTACGAGATCCTCAGTACCAGTGCAGCAGTTCAGATTGAGCAGCACCATGGTACACATGAAGGGGAGCCTCTCACACTCTCAGCCCTCACTGTGCTCCAAATGCCTGCCAAGAAAATGGTGACAACAGTAACTCAGGAGCACAAAGTCTAGGCCTAGGTAAGAACACAACTCACCAGAGATGTGAAAAAGTACCTGAGCTATTTATCACCATGATTATTTTACAAATTCACCAGGATATATTTGAAGTACCTAGAATCAAACAGTTTTGAAGAGTAATTTTTGTGGGGGGCACAGGGATGGCCAAAAGGCAAATTGATGGGTTCCTTTCAAATCAGATTTTTAACCAAATCTCACCTGGTTTTTATTTGGATTCTCCATGAAGACACACTGCTTCATAATGTAGGAGACAACAGCATTCCCTCCTAATGCAGCAACATGAGCACGCACCATCGCAAACACTTCAGCAATAAAGGCGTGGAGAAAACCACTGACACCTCCTTCCTACGTAACAATGCACAAGATAATTGCATAATACAGATGTATATAAGAATGGACATGTATTGTCAAATAGATATTAGGACATAAATGATCTTAAACAGGCAATAATTTAAATTTGGCATAGTGAGGATTTATTGCATGAACAAACTTCTATTGAACATATAACTGCACAACAATTTACTGCCCTTAGTTTGTTTCTTTAATAGAAAATTAGAGACATTGTATTTTGCATACAACAAGCTATGTAGCACTTAATTCAACCGCTTTGCACATTAAATTCTAATACCTCAATCAACAGGTACACAAAATAAGTATTCCGCACATATTTATTAGGACATAAACCCAATAGTATGGGAAACTTTTTCTATTTTCAAAAACTAAGAAAACAGATATCAAAGGCAAGTCAATAGCTGAAAATGCCTTTTAATATAAGCTTTTCACAAATTCTACTGGAGGTTATATAGGAAATGTCCAAGTTTAAAGTAAACATTAAGGAAAACCTGGGTATACCATTATAAAGCCATTAAATCAAATTTTTCTAAAAAAGCACAAGACAGTCTATGTAGTTTTGTAAAGGGGTATCTTTTTGTGATTAAAGAATTCAGCAAGTTCTTTCAGACTGTTGCCAACTCCATCATAACTGAAAACATTTTTTTCTTTTACAAATTTCCTACTTATTAAACCAAGATATTCTCAATGTTTACAGGTTAACTTGACAAAGGAAAACTAAGAAAAAAACTCATCAAGCAATGAATGCATGTAAAATGCTGCCGTGAAGTTATTACTCAAGTCTTTGTTGAAGGGAGATCGACCATGAAGCGGCAGTATTTTGGGGATGAGAACATAAGTGGTAGAGAAGACACTAAAAATAAAACTTTTGTGGATAAGCTGCGCGGTGCTGCACCTCACAGTCCCAGCTACCTAGACCCTGCCTCAAATGCTAACTCTTTCAGCAGGCTTCCTCTGTAACGTAAGACATAATGTATAGTTTTTTCCTTGTGTCTGAATTCTTGCCTTAGTAAATGAATAGTGAATTAACTACAATTCTGAACCTTAGCCATGTCAAGTAAAATGCTACAACCACTGTTATTTAAAAAGAAATTTAATAATATCTAATGTGAAGTAAGAATATGAAGCATATTCTCCCTGTTGGAAAGAGTGAAAATTCGTGACTTCATTCTCTCTTAAGAGAAAAAAAACAACAAAAAGATAAAATTATACAAAATATCTCTACACACACACACACACACACACACACACACACTTCAATGCATTCGGTTGTTACATGGTTTTACTACACAGCTCAGACTCAGTGATCCTCCTGTTTTCAGCCTCCCCAGTGTGGGGATTACAGACACATGCTACCATGCCCGGACTCTGGACTCAGTGCACCCTGGGGGCAGGGCTGGTGTGGCATGTGGTGCAAGGGATAGAATCGTGGTCCCTGTGCTTGCCTAAGCTTGCCTAAACAGGTGCTTTAGTCCGCTGAGCTATCTCCCTGGCCCCTACACAAATATACATAACTAGTTAGAAAAGTAAGCTTTTCTTTCAGGGCTGCTTTAAACATCTAATAAAGGCAATTTTACTTGTGTTACTTATATAAGATAAAGATCTAGAATTTCTTTTCTTTTTTTTGGGGGGGGAGGCTTAAAGGTTTTACTGTTATGAATCACAGCTGATGAACACCAAGTTTTCACCTGAAGAGACTACGCTGCAACTAGGGCCCAGGGCACTGCTCCAAGAGTTGCTCCAGGAAGGGGGCAGCACGGTAAGAACCAACAAGGTCCGAAGTCCAGGAAGGAGAGGGCTCAGGGTCAGGTGGCTTCTGCCAGAGCAGCCCCAGCAGCCATAATGCATGCAATCAATGATGCGACCCCCTTCCAGCTTGCTTTTGGGAGCCCAGCAAACACAGTTTGTCCCCAAGTTGGTGTCCCGAGTCTGAATGCATCACAGGCAGCACAAGTTCTCATATCCTTGCTTTTTCCACTATGCAATCAGGTGTTTGTCTGTATAGCCTTCTTTAATACAGTATTCACAGAGTGCCCTGCTTATGGCTTTCCGCTTGTAAAAGAGGTCAAAGAGCAGGTTTTCTGCTGGTGGACTCTGAAGATGGGCCACAGAGATCTCACTTTCCTCTTTCCCTTAGGAGGCTCTGTTTCAGCTTTTCTCAACTTTTGCTCCAATTCATCGGACGTCCACTCAATCAGCTTCCAGCCATTTGGAGGAGCTTTCCGGCTTCTTTTCCCTTTAGGTGTTTTTTTTTTTTTTTTTACCTTACATGATTATTTACTGAGATCTTAGGATCTATTTCCAAGAGTGAAGTATGAAGTAGATTTTTGGTCTCTACAGTTAGGCTTTCACTTATGTCTCACTCTACCAAATACTCTGACTTTGGAGAGATCATGCCCTTGTCACCGGACGCCTAAGCTATAGAGCCACGTACAAGTTCTAATACATTTGTTTAAATTTAACACAACTCAATGGTAACACTACCTCCTTTATGAACTCCAGTAAGTCTAGTATAAAATCAATTCAGATAGGTTATTAAAATGCAAATATCAATATACATACATTTGTTAGAGGAAAATAATTTGAAATTTGGTTTTACTACTAAGTCTTCAATCAGAGAAAATGATTTTTTTTTTTGAGAAAATGATTTTAAAAAATAACCTTTATAACATTACCTCACGAAGAGAAGTGGTTTCTCGAATAAAAAACATGTTAATTATCCCAAGATATTTAGTTATTTTTGCTCCCGGAATGAAAGAAAGAGGAGTCATCTTAACAACCCCAACTGTAGAACTTGCACAAGGTGGAGCAGAGCGATTTCGGAAATTTCCTTCACCCATTGGATTTGCTTTTTCAACTGTCACAGCTAAAATTGAAGAAAGAAGAGAATATATTAAACACTGACATGGGTAGAGAGATTATTTCCTAAGGTTTCCGAAATAAGTGGTGACAACATTCAGCTTTCTGTGAGGCTAAGCCATGTCATGAAAGAAATTATCATGCACTGCATGCAATTAAAAGACAGAGAAAGAAAAACATATGAGAAAATGCTGGAATGGAAGTCTTTGGAAGAAAAATGGCATTCCTGCAAAAGAAAATGTTGATGCAGTGTAGCTAACACACAATGATTGGTTACAAAGTGAAGAAAAAGAAAAAGCACAGAGCATTAAAATTATCTACTGTAGAAACAAATTATTACAGAGAGTGTGAAAGTTGTTATCTTTCCCAGTACAGTTCTTTCCATCTTTTTCACATAGCTTCTTCATTGTCAACTTGTAGATAAACCTAACTTGTAGTTAACTAGTTGTAAACTAGTTCCTTTCCAAACCATGTTCATTAATCAAACTCATAATTTTACTAAGGATTTTGGCTGTCAAAAGTTGTCTAAAAGTTAGAAAATAAAATAACTATCACTTACTAAATGACTGCTATAGACCAGACATGACATTTATTTTCCTCAACAACCTGGAACATAGCTTATCACTGTCCCCACTTCACATATGAGGAAACTGAAGATCAGAGAAACTGAAAAGCTCACTCAAGATCACACAGCTACTAATCTGAAACTTCTAGGTTTCAAAATTTGATCTGAATGCTCCCATATCCTGTGATTCTTTCTCTTAAATGAAACTGATCCCTTCCTTTTTATGTAGTGTAAACTTTCATTTAAATAGTTACTTCAAAATCTACCAAAACACTTGGGCTATACATAACATGAAAGGAATCATCCTGAGTTTACCAGATAAACGAGTTAACTACTTTCTCCTCAGAACTACTTTATTCTTTCAGCCCTCTGGATATAACACTTAGTAAGTTAAGAAATGCCATTTGCTAAATAGTACGCTGGATCCCAGATAAGCGTCTCTATGGTAAAAAAGCAGGTGATTTCTTTCCATTTAAAGTAAGTATGATATCTATTTGTATAAAGTTGTAAAACACACATCTGCAGTTAAAACTAACAAGCTGGAATGCCCTTACGCAGTCCCACCCTACTCTTTCTAATGACCACTCAAGTCTGCAGCTTTCACACTCCAGTACACGACTGATCAGCAATGTTATTACTAGGAAGTAAGTCTAGCCTTCACCACTGGGAAATCAGGGATATGCTTCTGAGATCATCATAATGTGGTAGAAATAGCCGCCTACTTGTCTTAATTGATCCGCGCCTTATGGTCTGAGCTTTCAGTTTAATGAGCTCTATCCAGCTGCTGCATCTGTCTGCAAAGGAACTGTAATCAACTGACGTTGCTGAAAACACAGACAAAAAAATAAAACAACAAAAAAAACAAAGAAAAATATGGATGACGTCTCTTATTCGTCATAACACTCCTTCCGATGATGTAATTTAACTGTAACTTAGAAAAAGAATGGTCCTTCTCAAGTCAGATGAGAGCAGTAGTCAAGAGTCGAGCTTTACACAGTGATTTGTCCACAACCACGTTCCGTTAGCTGGCTGAGCACTTTCTGGTAACATCACAACTGTGTGGCCTCTCAGGGAGAATGTTAAGTGACATCTAACATAGATACCAATGAAAGGACCACATGCTGTGCTTTAACTTCATTCCTAGCCTTTAATTTATAATAACGTAGTTGTTTATATTTTAGGACTTGGATTTACAACGCAAGCACTGTGAATAATCTTTTACCCTATTTTTACCTTAAAATAAAAAGTAAACTGAATGAGAATCACTCAAAAGAATACTTTAAAAAAAAAAAAAAAACTAGTTGGTGTATCTATTATTAAACTACCTTCTTTCCACCACCAGCAAAAAAGCCAAAGGGTCATTTCTGTCGGTGCTGGGTCTGACCTTGGCAACAAAACTCTGACAACACTGTTGAGAGGCAGGTGGGAGCCTACCAAGTGCTTCTTTTATAATAGTAACTTTCACACTGCTAAGTTAAAAATTAAATGAATAAAAACAATATTAGCTAAAATTTTATTTTTTTAGAAATTGAGAAAGTATTAAAATGCTAAAATATTTAAATATTTAAATGAATTTTTTAAATGAGTTCTAACTACAATAAAGCCACGTTCTGGTGTTTATTTCACTGTCTAGTGCATTTCTTTGATGTCTACAATTTTAGGCATCACCAAACTAGAACTTCACATCTTTGGTGACTACTTGCTTAATGAGACAAACTCACCTCTCTGTGCAGCTGGTATACCTGAGTTAGAACTTGCACTCTCCAGGTGTTCTAATAAGACAATATGAACAACATTAGCTTGGATGCTAAGTACAAGCCAGCATCTCTTCGTTGTTAATATCTTCTATAAGCCAGGAGAATAGGAGTAAAGCTTCATGGTTCATATAAAAGCAAACCAAATAGAAGTATTTAGGCTTAAAATAGTTTCTACTGACAAATGAAAACTAGCTCAGTTAATAAATACCATGCCAACAATGACTGCTTGCTTACTATAACATAAAATGAGTTTCAGAAACTTCAGTCATGAGAAAATACAAATATATAGTAATGAAGGTGAGTAGAATGACAGCACACTGAGATTAAACAGAAAAATGGCTGTGGTGGGATGAATACCTGAAATTAAAACAGAGAAGGGAAATTCTTGCACGGGTAAGAGAGCCAGTAAGATTGAAGTCCATAAACAAGATAAATGCTTCACAGAGCCTAAGCTGCAGCCCTAATCCTGCTCACCACCAGCCACTCCTTGTAATTTAACTATCAACAGCTCCCTCTGGTGGTGGTAAAGTGTTACAGACATGATGAGTGACATCAATCCCAACTCAGAATCACTCCATTTTCCAAAAACCTCAAGAAAGTAACACCC